CTCCATCTGAGACTTCAGACTCCTTTAAGCCTTGTCACCTTTGGTCTTTTAAACCAACTAGAACTGTTTCACCTGCAGGACCTCGGGCTCAGAACTATGTTTGATATTTGATACACCATCTCTCCCCTGTCTACGTCCCTGTCACATCACCCCAGCTTGCTTTCTCCATTCGCCGCGAAGCGTCATGAAAGGGCAGGCTTCAAGCTTACCTCTGCTGCTCATCTCTCATTTATTCTTCAACCCACTGCACCTTTCATGCTCTTACGAAGGTCTCCGGTGATCTTTTCATGGCTCCACCCGGTGGGTACCCCTTGTACTTAAACCTGACACCCCTGATTCATATGATTCATAGGATGCTGTCAGCCACTCCCTCCTTCTTATAAAATTATATCGTCATTTAATTGCCATGATCTCATACTAGCCTGGTTCTCCTTTCAACTTCTCTGGCTCCTGCTTCTCGGTCCTCTTCAAAGACATTTCTTCTTCTGCCACACCTTCCATGCAGGCCTGCCCCGGCGTTCTTCTCTCCTTCTCATCAACATTCTCCCATGGAGGCGGCACCTACGCCTGTTCCTTACTCCCTGTGTGCTACCTAAGCTACCTACACGTATATGACTCCCAAACCCGCAGCTATCCTTGACTTCCTTCCTGACCTCAGCATCAGCATTTCCAGCTGCTTGCAGACAGGAGCAGTCTGCCAGCGTTTTAAATTTGGCATTTCCAAACCATGACTTTCACCTTCTAGATCTGCTTATCTTTCTGTGTTCCCGATTTCGGTCGAGGGGAGCTCACCAGGCTGTCTATAGCTTCTCCCTCTCCCTCAGCCCCTCCCCCTCCTCGGAGTTGCCAAGAACCGTCAGTCCACTCGCACAGCCTCTGTCACTCCATCCCTTCCTTTCCTGTCCCACTGCCACTGCCTCGGTTTAGGCCCTCACTTCACTTCTTCTCCCTTAATTATTGCAAATGTCCTTTTGGGCTGCTGCCACTGCATCCACACCTTCTCTCCAAACCAAAAAGAAAAAAAAAAAAAAATCAGTGGTTCTCCACTGGTTAAAAAATAAAGTCCAAGCTTTCTTAGCCTTGCTTTCAATGCCCTGGAAACTTGTCTCAGCCTCATGTCTTGTCTCCTCTCACTCAGCCTCTCTGTGCTCTCCAAACAACTGCCTTCTCTGCTACTCTGTTCTTCTTGTACTCTCTGCCTGTCCTCATTCCATTTTCACCTGCCAAATGCTGCAGCCCCAACAGCCCTTCCTCCTTGTTCTCTACTTGCTCCAAGCTGCTGGACCAATTCCCTCTTTTCTCTGGATCCTCACAGCGGTTTTTGTTTTGGACATCAGGTAGACCACTTACAACTTTCCTTCCTAATGCAATAAAAATGGGTCTATTTTTGCACCAGTTTGTAGGATTCTTCAACTTCTATTCAACAGAAAATTATAAAACTTATGGGTTTGTTTTTTTTGTTGTTTTGTTTTGTTTTTGTTTTTTAATTAGGCATGGCAACAGAAGCTAGGACTCAAAAAGAAGAGTAGGCTACAGCCGCAGGGCTGGATCGTTCTAGTGGGAAAAGAGAAATACAGGAACAGAAAGCCACTGTGCTGTGTGACAGGAAGCGGGCATGCCTTGTTACAGTTGCTTCCCCCCAGCTGAGGACTTTGTGCATGTTGGATGAGGTATTTTAGAGCTGGAAGAGTCTAAAAGAGAATGTAATCCAGTCTTCATGTGTCCTAGCACAGGGAACTGAGACCACAGTCGCTGGGGACTTGCCCAGAGTCACCAAGTTGGAGGGTGGCAGAGCTGGACCGAGCCCCAGGGCCAGGGCACACTCTGCCACACCCCAACACAGCCCCCCTTCTCTGCACACTTGGGGTGGGGGCAGGGTTGCACAGACATCACTCAGGCTTAGGAACCACAGTGTGCATTCTAAAAGCAATAAGGTGTAATCAAGGGATATGTCCGGGCTGAGTGGCCAGAAAAACAGGGAAGATGTTGAAGAACATGTAAATTTTTCTCCTTTTTTAGATGCTTCATTTCCACAAAAATCCCCTGCACTCCACTGCTTCCACAAAACTCATGGGGGAATCTGTTTTGTTCTTTTTGAAAGTCAAATTGTCCTATGGTTAATGAAGTGATCATTCATAGGAAAGGGACATTTTATAAGGTCTCACTCCTGGATTGGTGCTCCTCCTATAAGTGATCGGGAAGGTTTCAGAAAAACTGCCTGATTTATTTTTTCTCTAAAAAAAGTTATAGGATTGAGTTTTTGTTTGTTTGTTTTTTTGAGACAGAATCTTGCTCAGTCGCCCTGGGTAGAGTGCTGTGGTGCCATCATAGCTTACTGCAACCTCAAACCCCTGGGTTCAATTGATCCTCTTGCCTCAGCCTCCCAAGTAGCGTGCCATGACACCTGGCTAAGTTTTCTATTTTTTGGTAGAGACAGGGTCTCACTCTTGCTCAGGCTGGTCTCAAACTCCTGAGCTCAAGCAATCCTTCTGCCTAGGCCTCCCAGAGTGCTAGGATTACAAGCGTGAGCCACTGTGCCCAACCAAGATTTTATTTTTATTTTTCTAAAAGATTTCTCAAAATCTGTTGCTTTAGTAGGGCTTCAAACAAAGCCACATTAAGGTTTCCAGCCACTTGGTTGATTAGCTTCTCCTTTAACTCAGTCAGGAAGGTAATATGAGTGTTTTCTCATTTTTTCTCCTGACTAATAAATATACCTCACTTAGGCTTGCTTCATGGAAACCCCCATTTGGAATAACAACCTCCCTAGAAACCACAGTGGATACAATGGAGGAGTTTGTGAGGATTTAACTGAGTAATGGGTGAGACTAAATAGCTAATACATATTGCTAATTCAAGCCAGAAAGCCTCATCTTTTAAGAAAAGTGAAAGTTTGGTCGTGAATCACTGCACAGCATTTATCTGTGCAGCCCCAAGCAATAGAATTCCACTATAAGTCATCATTACGGATATTAGTAATTATAGGTTTTAAACTGGATTCAGTATTCTAGTCATGTCTCCTAGAACTTTATCATAGAAGGTAAAAGAGTGTGGTTACTGTCCCTTTTTTGAAATATTGAAGAAATCACACCAACTCCATCTAAAGATTGTTCTTTCACCAGGCTTTACTTACCATACAATTAAGAAATAGTATTTTCCCCAAATAGTGATAACACTATTAACTTATCATTGGTTAGCGCCTTGTAGATTACCAAGATTTTTCACCTATAGTTCTGTGAATTAGTACCAGCGAGGAAACTGAGTTGCAGAGAAGGAACCTTTACTCTAGTCTCCCAGCTAGCAATGACAGCAAGAGAGAGCGATGTAAGGGAGAAAGAAATCCCGGGCTTTGGGGTCAGACAGACTCAGGATTGAGTCTCAGCTCAACTAATCCTAGCAACATGAAACTGCTCAAGGTATGTAGCCTCTCTGAGCCTTGTTTTTTTAAACTACAAAATGTATGTACTACCCACCCCATAAATTTATGACAATTAGGACAAAATGAAAAAGCACACAACAAAATTCCTAGCTTGGAAAAGATGCCCCCTGAATTGTATCCTACTTCAGTCAATACATCTGTAAAAGGAGGTGATAATGAGGCCACGTGAGGATTAGCAATACCTGAAAAGTGCTCTCCAGTGTTATTTCTCCTTGTCAGTGCTATACCCCCTTTGCCCACCCCCACGATCCAAAGCTGCCTCCAGGGAAAAGACAATTCAGCATACCGGAAGATGAACTTTAGAGAGAGGAAGTTTACCTTCATATGTCAATTAGCATTTTTCACTTACCTACTGAATTCAAAATTGTCTCTCAGGAAAAAAATGACCAAAATTAAATATTTTTAAAAAGACTTAACGTAGCTGAAGCTGCTACATAACTTCAGTATAAGGTACCTGGAAGCCCTCAAAGTGATAAAGAGTTTGAGATGTACCAACCTTCATCCATCCCTCTTGGTCCACATCCCTTTCCGCACCCAGTTCAACCATCAAAAGGCACTCTCAAGTACATTTCCTTTTTATTTTTCAAGTCACAGTGTTACTTTAGTTTAACCAAGTAACCAAAGTTTAGTAACTTTAGTTTAGTTAGATGGAGTGAGAACTACAAAGGGGAATGCAAAGAAAAGGAAAAGGAAAAGACAGTGGACAAAAACAACCAAGAGGGAAAATAAGTTTTCATACAAATCTACAAATCTCTTCCAAAGAGATCGTTAACTTTAAGATATTTTATCATCTGCTAAATGCTACAAAGTTTCCAAGTGGCCACTTTTTGATAAAACAGTATTTATCAAACAGAATGGTTTCTGTAGGGCCGTATCATTCAGAGTCAACAGCACGTGCTGGCAATGCGTTCTTAGGTGTCAGCTTAGAGTCACCTTAACCCAAAGTACGTGTCAATTAAATTAAAAAAAATTTTTTTTCTAATTAAAATTTTAATACAATTGCCAAAGGATGGAATGCAAGAAAACATTCCTCTCATCTTAAGGGCTGTAGTTTTTTCCTTAGGATTTTTTGTTTTTGTTTTGTGAGGGGGGAGTGGCATAAAGTTCTTCCTTGGTTAAGGTTTAATAGTTAGGTATATAACTTACATTTACCACTGACTGTGGGAAGTTCTAGTCGTTATCACTCTTTGAGTTTTTAGAATAACTGCATTTAGAATGAGGTGCTCAGAATCTGGAACAGTTTGCCCTTTAGAAGTACAAGAAAAGAGTTTCCTTTAGTAAGCACCTTTAAGTTTCAGGCGCGTCAACCAATAAGGGGAGGAGGGAGAGAACCCTAAATATCAAAATACCCTTTGCCGCCTGCAGGACTCATTTCTTTTTCCTAAGGCTTAGGGCTGGAGAAGAAATCAGATTAAAAATGCAGAGCAGACCACGCTGCGCGGTGGGCGCGGTGGGCGCGGTGGGCGCGGTGGGCGCGGTGGGCGCGGTGGGCGCGGTGGGCGCGGTGGGCGCGGTGGGCGCGGTGGGCGAGGTGGGCGGGGGTCCCGGGTGCGGGCGCCCGCTAGCTGGACCGCTCCTCGGGCTCGCTGCCCGGCGACGGCGCCGAGGACGCCTTGGACTCGCCGTCGCTGTTGCATTCCGCCCCGCGCTGCGGCGCGGCGCCCGCGGGACCCTCGGGGCCCCGGGCGTGGCGCTCCCCCAGCAGCTCCTGGAGGTGCTTGATGTAGCCGATGGCGGCGCGGAGCGTCTCCACTTTGCTGAGGTGCCTGCCGGCCAGCTCCCGAGGCAGGTGGTCGCGGAGGCGCGCGTAGCCCTCGTTCACGCAGCGCACCCGCTGCCGCTCGCGCTCGTTGCGCTTGCGCAGGAAGGCGGGCTCCAAGGCGCCCGCCAGCGGCAGGGGCAGGTACTGGCGTCTCCGCGCGCAGCCCCCGCGCGCCCGCTCCCTGCACGCGGCGTCCGGGCGCAGGGACGCCCGGAAGGGGTCCCTCAGAGGGAGTCCGGGCAGGGGCCTCGGCGTGCCCAGCGGCACGGTGCGCAGCGGGCGCGGCAAGGGCAGCAGTCCCGCCGCTTTGCGCTTCTCCATCCCTCGCCGAAAAAGCGCACCAATCACCCAAGAGACTGATCTCTCAGCAGAAGATGAGACTTAAATCTTCGAAGCGGAGATGCTGGTCCATCCAGACTGCCTGGCACAGCACGTCTGTCTTTGGGGAAGTGTGTGGGTCCAGCAGCTGGGTGCCAGGACCGGCGTCAAGGGAACTTTGCATGACTCCCGATCTTCATGGCACCCCTCGATCTTTTTATAAAGATCCAGACGGAGGGAGTAGGCAAAGATTTAGGACCCTCTCTAATCCACACTTCAAACCCGGTCTTCCCCTCGGGTCTTCTTATTTCAACAGATGACAAAGGGAGTTCCTCTGCCTGGAAATGCGAGCGCACGCCAAACACAGAGTAATCTTCCAAAGCCACCGGAGCTTCTCAGCTCCTGTAATCCACCGCCCTGAGTCTTCGAGAGATGAGTCGTTCGCAAAGAGCCTTGGAGTCGTGAAGATTTGAGAAGAGCTCCTCCCAGGAACCTGCAGATCTCCTGGCGGCGGAGCGAGAGGTTACCGCAGGCTTTCTCCTTGGAAATCAAAACTTGACTGCCCTTTGTGGTTTCCGGCGTCCAGGTCTAATGGAAGGAGCTTTTAGAGTGTTTGCAAACTTGCTCTTTCATTTCTGGGGAGGTGGAGGGAAGCCCTCATCAAAGGGAAGACTGCTGTCTTGTGGTTACGTGTCAAGTGAAGGAGGACCCCTGGGAGGGGGAGGCTTCAGGTTTTCTTCTCTAAAACCAAATCTTTTTAACACTCAATTTGACTTTTTTTTTTTTTTGAAGAGAACAGAAAAAAATGTACACTTTAGCAACGAATATAAGGGTCCACATATTATTTTCCAACTTAATGTTGAGCGCAGGGCGTTTGATGCATATATGCTACTTTTAAAGAGCACATCAAAAGACAGAGCAATAACAAACACTTTTAGCCGGTTATTTCTCGCAGTGCTTACTGTAAACACAGCTTAAATACTGCTTCCCGACCTCTTCTAATCCCACCCAGGATATAAGAACATCAACTCTTCATAGTGCAAAGAGTATTTTTCCATTGGATTCTTCTTTTAAAAAAAAAAATAATAATGCAATTGTTTTTCTCCCTTGGGGGCAAGAAAGCAACATTTGAAAGGTGGAGAGCCCCAATTCCAAGGAGAAAGGATGATGGCTTTGAAGACTTGTCTTTTTTACACACCACCAAAAAATGAATAATTAATCCATCCGTGTTGGTAAAGGGCTTTGAAGATGAAAGTGCCATTAAAAATCCAACTGTCCTGGCTAATGTCAAAGAATGTGTTATCACACTGAAAATCAGATTTCCTCTTCTGCAAACCAGCACATTAAAGGCATCTTCTACTTTAAAAGTGCGACTTGAAAACAAGAGAAGCAAAAACCCCCTACATTTATGATCAGACCTTCTGCCTATTCCTCAGGAGCCAAAGTGATTGCCCTAACATGTTTTCTTCCCCCCTGTTTACTCTAAACGATCCGCCTGAAGCAACTGGGAAAACAAGGCAAATAAATGAGAAATAATTATTCCTTTCAGGCATAAATTAGTTGCATTTTAAAAGATGCAGCTCCCTATGAGGCTTGCACTGACTAACAACCTAATATGCCATCATGATTTCTCATCAGACTTGAGAAAGCCCTTTCTATTAGCCCACCAGAGAGGCTGGTAGGTCATTAAACCACAAGGTGCTTTTTGGCCATGTCAAAGATTTTGACCTTTATTCTAAGAGTGACAGGAAGATAACAAGATATTTTGAGTAGGGAGGTGACATACTAAGATTTGTGTTTCAAAAAAGATCACTCTTTCTGCAGAGGAAGAATAGACTGGAAAGGAGCAAAAGGGAGAACAGTTGAAATACCATTTTTCATTCTCAGATTGGCAAAAGTTAAAAAGATTGCTAAACATCCAGGATAGGCAAGGGTTTGAGGAAGGGGTAGAAACAGAAATTGCTGCAAGCTTCTGGGAAAGAAACTATTAAAATTAATAATGCACATCACATACTCTTTAACCATACAATTTTTTCCTTTAAGAGTAAATCCACCAGTACAGATGTATATATGTACAGTATTTATTGCAGCATTTGTAATCATTAAAAAAAAATAAGGGAACAGCCTGAATGTTCATCAACAGAGAAAGGGTTAATGCTTTATAATATTATGCTATTATTAAAAATAATGAGTAAGATCTATATGTAAGAACTTATAGAATTGTCTATGATGTGTTACGTGAAAAAAGCAAATTGCAGAGTAATGTATGCAGCATGAACATCACATGAACAGTTCTACATGATGTGTATGTCTTCCTTATATGTGTTTGACCACAGAGAATGAAGTAGAAAAGCACACACCAAACACTTCTTTTTTTGTCATTGGATATCTAAAAAGGGTGGCATTGGCATTGTGGGGTGTTCATTTTTCTTTATAGATCTCTCTATTGCTTAACTTATTACAAATAGTACATATTACTTTTGTACTTTTATAGTTTAATGAAATTTAAAAAATAAGAGGAAAATGTGTAGAAAACTCAAATGACACTCTGATCTGACCCAAACCACCGGGCTTATTATTATAAATTCAAGCTCTTGGACCAGGTTTCCTGGATCCTTAAAAATTCTGTCTCTGAGGAATAAACATCTATAGCTCTCTCTCTTTCTCTCTCCATCCCTCTCCTTCCTCCTCCCCCTCTCCCACAATACTATCATCAAAAATGGCAAAAATGGTCAGATCCTGATCCTATAGTAGTCTTTTTAGAGGTTCCAAGTAATGTAATGATATAACAGCATGGTCACAAAGAATACGGACGGAGTCTTTCCTAAAGCACAAAAGCATTGAAAATAAGTGGCTTTTCCAGGGATCATAGCACTGTTTCACTCACATGATGAGGGACGTAAGTGGGTAGGGGGGGTTACTTTCTTCTTGATGTAAGTGATCAAGAGAGGAAGTTTTGACTCCCAATCATTCTCCAGTCAGTTTTGAGATGTCTCACCAACAGCTGGCTAGATCATGTTACAGCTTTGCTAACCTGCCAAGAACACTTGGGACTGGGTTTGTGTAGTCCTATTCAGATCTGTTCATAAAAGGAGGAATGGGAATTCCATAAAAGTCAAGCTCAATAGATTTTAAGGTATTGTTAAGGATGAGGAAAATTTCCATGCCTAAAACTCAGATCCTTCATCGCCTGCTTGAAATGTGAGAGGTGAAGAAACTTAGATTGGCTCCTCTTATGAAACATCTGATATCATGTTACAGATTTGGGTTTCCTAGGCTCACGACTCAGAGGTGTACGTACCCTTCCGGCCCCATACCAGCAATTTCTGTCAGCCGTCACAAGGGAGAACAGAGTACACATACTGCATTATGATCTCATCCTAGCTGTAAGATGTCTCATAGGTGTAGTTAACTACATCTTAAATTGATTATGTAACATGATTGCATTTAATTCTTCCTTTTCTATATAGCTCAAGTATAAATTCTCTGTATTAATTACCATGTGCAACATCCACCAGGGGTCTTCCTAGGCACAACTAAACATCTAGACTCATTAAGACTACCATGGGCCATTTGGCATCAGATTCACTTTGGGAGGATATAGATCAGGAACGACGGCTTGGAGCCAGGCACAACTACGCATTCCACCTCCCTGGGCATCTTTGTGGTAGTCTATGCACCAATCCACATAGCTGCTCCCTCCAACTCCCAGCAGCCAAGTAATAGCTCAGGTGTAAGGAAACAAGGCTCACATCAGCCTGGTGTGGCAGCTACCCTAACTTAGAACTCTCCTACCTCTCAGGAGCCAATATTTCTTGCAAGGGCTCCATGGGTGTAACTTCCAGGGAGCCCAGGGGGCCCAATTAAAGAGTCCCCATACTCAGGAGAGCCCAAAGTTATGCATCCCCGACGGGTATTTATAGCCAGTCCAGATGCAACTTACCCATTAGGTAATTGCCTTAATATAAGTGAGATTGCCTAATAACATAGTTGACATTTTACCTTTATCAGGTTTTCCTGAGGAGCAGATAACAGAAAGTTAACTGAAGGTCAAATTGTCTGCAGAGGAAGAAAAGCTTTATTAATCCTTTTCCCATACCATTACATTCGATTTTAAAGATATTACTTGCATAATTTACAGCAAGAGTTAAAGAACCATAAATATTTAGGTACAATTTATTACTGTTTTTTCTTTCCTTCTCAAACACGATTTGCATTTTAATCTAGTCTATGCAGTCTTTTGTCATATAAAAATTTAAAATTTTGATGTAGTCAAATGTATTAATGCTTTCCTTATAGCTTTTGTGTCTTCTCTCTTGTTTAAGGCTACCTTCTCCTACCACAAGTTTTATGGGCCTCTTCTTGTCTATATGTATGACACCTTAGTGTGAATTAGACACCAAACTCAAGGCTTACACAATGAATGGCTGACTCTTAAATTCATCTGGAAGAACCATTGGGCAAGAATGCTCAAATTCGGAAAAGAAGAACAAAGAAGACAACATGCACTTTTAATATCCATGAGGAACAAAACCACCATCACTAATTGGGATTGTGTTGAATATAAACATTAATTTGGAGAGAATTGACTTTTTTTAAACATTGTATCTCTCTATATATGAACATAGTAGAACTCATTTATTCATGCCTTGTTTTTTGTACTTTAATAAAATTCACAGGTTTCTCCATGTAGATCTTGCATGTTTATTATTATGTTTGTTTTAAGATGGGAGGGTTTCATAGGTTTTGTTGCTATTGTGAATAGGATTTTTTCTGTTATTCAAAGCTACTGACTTATTTTATGTTAATCTTTAGTCATTTTACTGGACTCTCTAATTAGTTCTAATGCTTTTTAATGGAGATAAAATCTACACACACTTAAATGCACAGATGTTAAATATACACTTCAATGAGTTTTGAATAAATGTATGAAACAACACCCACTCAGAATAGTTCTAATAGTTTTTCTAAAAAGATGATTTACTAGGATTTCTTAAACTATAATCATATTGTCTACTAATACTAATGGTTTTGTTTCCCCCTTTCTAATATACCTCATTTCTTATTCTATTGAGTTTTATTGCCTAAGATCTCCAGTCCAATACTGATAGTAGTAGCAATAGTTAGTTAGCATCTTTGAATTTTAATGGAAAAGCTTCTAATGTTTCACTATCTAGTAGATATTTTTTACCAAGTTAAGGAAACTTTTTTCTACTCTTAGTTGGCTTACAGTATTATCAGGAAGGCATATCAAATTTTATAAAATGCTTTTTAGCATCTCTGGAGATAATTATGTATATTTTCTTCTTTTATTTGTTATTGTAGTGAATTACTTTAATAGATTCTCTAATGTTGAGCCACCTTGCATTCCTGGAATTGAATCCTATGATATCATAATTCCTTTATACACTGCTGGATTCAATCTGTTAAAATTTTATTTAGAAATTTTGTTCCTACAGTCCCAAGTCATAATGGCTATAGTTTTATTTTCTTTTGCTGTAATTTTTTGGTACCAGCATTATTTCAAACACTTAAAAATAATTTGAGCAGTTTTCCATCTATTTCTAGGCCTTGCAACCATTTGTAAAAGATGGAAATTATCTATTCCTTGGAGGGTTGGTAAAACCCATCCTAAAAAATATACAGACCTTCTTTAGAGGTAAATTTTCAATTACTTTTTCAGTTTCCTTTATCATTATTGTTGGAATTTTAGGAGGCCATTAATACCATTCTTGGTTTTGG